ATGAGCCCGCAGCAGGCACAGCAGGGCCAGGAGAAGTGGGAGTAGCAGGCAGGAGTGGCAGGTGGTATTGGACTGCCAGTCTAACCACAAAGAGGTATTTTCAAACTTGAATTCTACTAGTTATCTCATTGGCTATTTCTGCTCTTTCTTTCCTCCAAATGTTCTTTTTTTTTTTATTCATTGTAATTACAATTATAGTTTTGGCTATCTTTGAACAAGTGAGATGAAACTCAGTGCCTTGTCTGCTTACAGCTCTTCCATAAATTTCTGTCATATTTGCATAATCACTGGAAGAATAAAATATTGGTATATGAATGAAATTTAAGTTTTTACCCCTTGAAAGGCATTATAACTAATAAGAGTATAGGGGAGAAGTATACTATTTGTTTTTTATACATCTATAGCAATCTGCTAGTTTCCCCTTTCAGTTCCCAAAATTTATTCTCCCCTTCTTTCTGTATATATCTTATCCCATCTATTGTAGTAACAACATTTCCTGGCTTCCTTTGAAGCTAATTATATATTTACTGGTTTATCTTTCTTTCCCCTTTTCCTGGGTCAGAACTCGGAAGGGGGATTACCTAGTTTCAACTAGGAAAACAAGGATAGTACTTGAAGGCATTGTTTCTCAATCAGGCCCAATTTCCTCTCCAGGGGACATTTGGCAATATCTAGAGACATTTTTAGTGGAAACAAACTGAGGGATTGTAAACTGTGGGCATCTAGTGGATAGAGGCCAGGGATGCAACTAAGCATCCTGCAATGCACATGAAAACTGCCCTCCCCTATGAAAAAAATTACCCTATCCCAATATATTTCTATCACTGAGATTTAAAAACACTGGTCTAGCAAACATTAGACAAAGTTCTGGGTATACTGATTTCCTGAGTGGTCTTATGGAGCAGAGCTAGTAACTCCGTCAGCCTTGGATGGCCACAGAAATAAGCATGAGGGAGAAATATACCTGTTTTATTTAAGCTACGATATAATTTTCCCTTTTCTTTATCCTATGAAACAGATAGTAATATTTTTGATTTTATAAGATTAAGAAGCTAATATTTATTGAGGTCACATGTTTTGTCTACTAGCTGTATTTATGTACAGCTAGTATATAATGAACTTGATGTTAAAATTCAGATGTGTCTGATTTCAAATCCTGTTATCTTTATATTCTGCTATGCTGCCTCATTAACTACTGGATGAGACTTTCTAAGAGTTAGATATGAGTATCTATCTGTATCAAAAACAACTTATAATCTGGGTAGTGTTGTTCAGTGGTTGAGCATCAACCTATAAACCAGGAGGTCACAGTTCAATTCCTGGTCAGGGCACATGCCAGGGTTGGTGCTAAATCCCCAGTGTGGGGCATGCAGGAGGTACCTGATCAATGATTCTTTCTCATCACTGATTCTTTATTTCTCCCTTTCCCATCCTCTCTGAAATCAATAAAAATATATATTTAAAAAACTCACGGAGAGTAATGAGCAGTCTCAATCAAGTACCATTTATAAATAATATTTAAACAATAAAACCCCTAGGTGATTTTTTTTTCTTTCTCTACCTTCTAGTGATTTCTCAGTTTTTAGTTATTAGAGTTACTAGTATATCAAACCTGTATTTCCTTATTACATCTCTTTCTCTAGTGTAGCTTGCTAGAGCATCTGTTCTTGTGGTGGTGGTAGTGGTACAGCTTCTCTGTTGCCTTTTTGGTTTTAGCTTTTATCTTCTATGAGCTGGAAGATTATGCTTAAAATATGTGTGAGGTACCTACAAGATGTGATATCCTAAAGTTAGGGGACAGAGGAATCAGTGGCTGATCAAATTCAAGAAAAATTTCTGAGGCAGAATAGAATCTTGGTCATAAAAGCAGGGTTTAAGACAATCTTGCAGGACAGAAAGGTTTGAATGTTAGCAATAGCTGGGCAAGTGTCTAGAGTGTTTGCAACTTTAAAATTAGATGTTTGATATTTTTGGTTGCTCAGGAATTCTCTAGTCTGTTTATCTAAGGGCCAAGCAAGTACTCGTCCTAATCCATAGCATAGGAAGATGATACATATATCTAAAACCTTTGGGGACTGTGATCAAAGACTCATGTCTTACATCTAGTTTCCAGATGGAATATTTTGGAACCTTAGTAACTTTGGCAGAGCTTGAGGCTCTTTCTCATTAGAGTAAACACATAGGGGTCTTGGCATCAGAGAGTGATTATTGTTCTTTTCATTGATATCTGATGTTAGAGAGGTCTTCATGCAGAGATCAGGTTATGGGATTCATTCGTTAACATAAAACTATTTTCATGGCATCATTGTTTGCATAATGCTGTCTCTGCTAAAATAAGTGTCAGTGTTGCAGATGTTTGAGTGAAAGTAAATTCAATTGCAAACTGGATTTAAGATTTAAGTTCAAGAGCTTAGAATTGTATATTAAGTGTAGGTCGGGAGATAGATGCATCAGAAATCAGGTAAACAGATAAGAGGACAAAATAAAATGAGAAGTCAGAAATCAAGATAATCATGAGCATTACCATCCATAGAAGTTGAAGAGGCAGATAAATGTGGGCATTTTAACTATCCAGTCAAATATTCAGGAATGTGGAGGAAACAGTTGCAGACTAAAGATCAGTCCCTGAGAAACAACCATGTGCTCAGATCAAAAGCATTTAAATGCTTCTTATTTAGGAAGATTTCCATTCTCCTCTAAGTTCTCAAGATAATGGAGAGAGGATGTAGATAACTGAAAGCATCTGATTGGTGGTCAAAGTAATGCTATTAGGTAGAAAAAATGTATTTATACAGATATTTAAATTACAATGTATTTATATATTTAAGTTGGCATTTATTGAGCCCCTCTTCTGAGTAAGTCTAATTCTAGTTGATGGGGAAAGTAATTCATGAACCCTCTTCTTCAGTAATTCATTTTTTGAAGAGACAGATGGACTACAATATTGTGTGATAAATCACATGATAATAAATATCTACAGGTTGCTGTGGGAGAGCAGAGAAGGATAAAGATCAGAGAAGACTTCCTGCAAGAGGTGGGACTTGGGCTGAAGATTGAAAAGTAAATAAGAATTAGGTGAAGAAGTCTATGAAGTTAAAGCAAAATAGAGGCTGAAGGAAAACTACAAAGGCATGGAAATGTGAGATATCTTGGTGTTCTGAGATTCATTCAATGAATATTTATTGAGCATGGAAATTGTGCCAGGAATGGATCTAGCTATTATGGATATAGTTATAGGTGAGATAGACGCAATCCTGAACTTTATGAATCTTGCATCCTATTCAGAGAGATAAACACCTAAAAGGAAATTTAATAGAGTGTGATAAGTGCTTTGAAAGGGGCAATAACAGAGCACTGAAGAGGGAGCCCAGAAGGATAACATTTATCTCAGCATGAGGGAGGAAGAAGTAGAGGGCAGGGTGTCTGAGAAAGTATCCCTTAGGATGTAATTGAGCCTTAAAGAATGAGTATAAATTTACCAGGCAAAGAATTTGGGAAAGCAGCAGCAGTATTAGTAGTGAGCAAAAAGGCAATGAGGCAAGTGAAAACCTGGCATCTTTAAGAAACTGTGAGTGTATCTGGAAGTTAAAGATATTGGTAAGTAATTTGTTTGACTGATCATGGATCCTAGATTGGATAGGAAAAAGGAATGCATGCAGGCATTATCTATAGACTGAGAGGAAATGAGAATGAAAGATGTTAAGAAGTTTCTTTGAAATCAAATAGCAGATATAGGAATAATAAGGGAATTTAAGAGTTGGAAGGATGGGTGGTTGGGATCAGTATGTGGAGAATATATTTTTGATATGAAAGGTGAAAGAATCATGGTTGGTGACAAGTCGTGGATGTGACTATGAAAGTGGAAAGGAGGGATAAGTCACTGTCAATGAAGTAAGAAAGAAATAAGTAAGTAAGGCAATGCATTGGATATCTTATGCACTTGGATGTGGAATCATCCAAGACAGTGACAGTGTTTGGGGTAGGGAGGAAGCCAACTACCCTTGTCTTTAGTCAATATACAGGAGTGGGCATGACAACATCACAGAAGTGATTTGTGTATTTAGATGACATGAGATTGTCATGATGGTTGAAATAGCATTGGAAATTGAGGTAATATATATCTGATCTGTTGTCATAGTGACATTTGATGCTGTAGAACATGCAGCTGGGCTCAATGGACACCTGAGTTTTAGTTAAGATAGAACATTTAAAAACAAAACCAAAAACCAAAAAACTGCTCTATGGTCCAGTGATTCAACTTTTGGGAATATATCTGAAGAAACCTCAAACATTAATTCAAAAGAATACATGCACTCCTAGGATCATTGCAGTATTATTTACCACTAAAGGCCTGGTGCATGAAATTCATGCACAGGTGGTAGTCCCTCAGCTTGGCCTGCATCCTCTCGAAATTCGGCACCCCTCAGGGAATGTCCAACTGCCATTTTAGGCCTGATCCTGCAGGGATCCCTAAACCAGCAATCAGATATCTTTCTCACAATCAGGGACCACTGACTCCTAACTGCTGGCTCCTAACTGCTGACTGCCTGTTTCCCTGATCTCCCCTAACCACTCTGCCTGCCTGCCTAATTACCCCTAACCACTTTGCCTGCCTGTCTAATCATCCATAGCCTCTCATATGCCTGCCTGATCACCTCTAACTGCTTGCCTGCCTGCCTGATCACCCCTAACCCCCTACCACCCTGATATCACACTCAACTTCCCTCCCCTGCCGGTCTGATCACCTCTAACTGCCTTTGTCTCAGCCCCTACCACCATGGCTTTGTCCAGAAGATGGCCTGTCAACCTGGTCTGATTAGCATATTACCATTTTATTAGTATAGATAGATTATATAGGATAGGATTGCTTAAATGGGAGAGGTGCTTTTTCAGCAGCAAGAGATGCTCTTGGCAGACAAAAATACATAATCCCTATATCTGGACTGATAGCCAGCCATATGCGCTATACTGCCAAACTGTTCATTAAAACATTGAACCACGCCGGAGACTAGAGTCACATCTTGACAGCTATTGTCCTGGTATGCTAGAGTTCTTGGAGAGAATCTTCTGGTCTTGATTCACTGATGAGAGTAGCAAATGCCTCCAGTTGTGACCAGATCAGAAACATAGGGGAAAAAAATTGAACAACTTTCTTACACGTTACACCAAAAAGCTATTGCCCTTAAAACCCCTCCTCATCCACCATCTTAGGTTCTGCCTTCATAGTTCACCCAGATTTGATTATTATCTTTTGTTATGAACATTGGATGCCTTTATATTATATAGACTTGATTTTTAATTTTCAGCATGAATTTACTGAACAGTGTACCATATGGATGTTTATATGCATTCATTTTTCATGATTTAAGTTTTTAGTGATCCTAATTCTAACACTTTACATTTATAGAGCATATTTACTCCTAAACTGATTGGTCGGTTTCTGTGCCAGTCAGTATCAAAAGTTCTACCTCCTAGGCAGCCATTGGCTCCTCACAGTTCTCCCAGATTTGGTGATTGGTCGGTTTCTATGCCAGTCAGCACCTCCGGGCCTATCTCTGGGCCTATCTCCAGGCTTTATCCACAACTGCCAAGGGGGAGCTGCAGATAAGGGCTTGAATCTCTCTCTTGGCCTTGCCAGCAGCTGCTGATCAGGCCCCACCTCTTTCTCTCTCCAGGCCTTGCTGGCAGTTGCAGTGGCTGCTGATTTTGACCCTGCCTTGCTCTCCAGGCCTCTCTCCAGGCCTGAACCACAGCCTAGAGTCAGAGGCAAATGACTTTGCTGCACTGGCCTCACCTTGCCCACCCCCACCAGCCCACCTGCCCACCGGCTACCAGCCTTGCTGTGATAAGAGCCTACGGGATGTGGGGGAGGGATCAAGAGGTGCTCCATGCACTTCCTGGTGACCAGCTGGCCGTCTGTTCATTTAGGTCGTGACGGCCCCCAACCTTTTATAATGTAGGTAGCCAAGATATGGAAGCAGATCAAGTGCCCATCAGTATATGAATGGATAAAAAAGCTGTGGTACATTTACACAATGGAATATTACTCAACCACAAAAAAGACTGAAATCTTACCATTTGTAACAACATGGATGGACCTAGAGTAGGGGTGTCGAACTCAATCAGAGAAGGGGCCAAAATCTAAAATCCAGCCTAAATCGCGGGCCAAATGGTTTACTGAACAGTCATAAACTGTCATTGTGATGGAAACGCAGTGGAGTGCAGTGATGACAGCGCGGTGCGGGCCACATTGCAAGGCCTGGCGGGACAGATTTGGCCCGCGGGCCTTGTGTTTGACACATGTGACCTAGAGGGTATTATGCTAAATTAAATTAGTCAGAGAAAAACAAAACATATGATTACACTTACATGTGGAATCTGAAGAACAAAATAAATGAATAAACATAAACATTCATAAATACAGAGGACAAACTGATGGAAGCCCTTTGGGAAGGGGGTTGAGGGACGAGGTAAAAGAAGGTGAAGGGATTAAGAACTACTTAATTGTAGTTTCAAAGTGGGCAGGAGAATGTAAGGTAAAGCATAGGGAATAATAGTTAACAGTACTGTAATAACTATTTATGGTGCCATGTGGACAATTGAGTTATCTGAGGGCATACTTTGTTAACTATATGAATTTATATCTGCTGCAATGGGTACCTGAAACTAATAAAAATGTTGAATGCAAACTGTAACTGAAAAATAAAAATTTAAAATTTAATAATAATTTCAAGATGGTGACAAAAGAGTATTAAACTAAGTATGGGGGTGTTTTTAAACACCAGACCCCATATCAGTGCCTGGCATAGAGTAAGTTTGTAATAAGTGGTAGTCCTTTTTTCTTTGTAGGATATTGATTTTAACCCTCTACTTTTGCAGATGCAAAAAGTGAAGTCCAAAGAGGACAGAAAAATGCAAGTTAGCGACACAGCCAGGACCACAACCCGAACTCCTTTGTTTTCAGTTGGTACTCTTTACCTCAGCACTTCCCAGGTGTGTTCTGTATGCTAATAGAGATTTCATAAATAAAAGTTTACACAAACAAGCAAAGGGGAAAATAAAAAAAGAAATAAAGTAACAGAAATATAATATTCAGAGTTTAAATTAGAAGACAACCTAACTGTCAATAGTATACAAGAATACTAGTATGAGGAAAGGGTTTTGGAGAAAAGGAAGTCAGAGGAGACAGCAGGGTGGGGAGAAGATGGGATAGGTTGGGATAACAGAGGTGGGACTTTTGAGCAGGGTGTGGCTTGGCAAAGATGAAAGGTCTAGTGGGTTGTGTTAGTATTAAAATTCTGAAGGGAAGACTGGGTGCATCTGAGTCTTAACCTGTACAGACTGTGTAAATCATTGCTTCAGTCAGGGTAATAAAGGCGGGGCTTTTTCTAAACCTTATTGCTTCTGGTAACTGATTGCTTATAGGCAGCTTCTCAAAGCTGCAAATCCTTTTAAGTGTAGATTCTATGCAGAATCCACAGTTACAACTATATCACAACTATCAATTCTTCTCTAGCTGCTGAGGCCAGTGACTTAAAACAAGAGTCTTCCTCTCATTTCTGTGTCTCAGGGGGAGCTTTGTCTCAAGGGCAACGTTGAAACCCACAAAAATGGAGAGTGCAACATTGTGTCTCCCATATTTCTAAATTGCTATTTCCCCCTATGTAACTGTTTACATTAACATTTCTCAAGTCCCTTATCTTTTGTTATGAACCTTGGATGCTTTTGTATTATATAGACTTGATTTCCAATTTTCAGCATGGATTTACTGAACAGTGTGCAATATGGGTGTTTATAACCATTCACTTCTCATGATTTCAGTTTGTAGTGATCCTAATTCTAACACTTTACATTTATAGAGCATGTTTACTCCTAAAAGCATGAAGCAGTTAACAAGAAACTATTTAACAATGCCACAACTCCTTGAAAGATAGACATATGATACATAACTGCTACAATCTCAGACATGCATTTTACCGTAGAACAACTTTTATTGAAAACAATATCTGAGGAGGTATCAGCTGACCTTTCTAGATTTATTTACAGTAATTTAGCCCCTATCACTGAATCATCAGCATACTTTCATGTCCACAATGAAGTTATTTATGACTTTGGAGCTTGGTTGGGACCATCATTTTTAAAAAATATATATTGTATTGATTTTTTACAGAGAGGAAGAGAGAGGGATAGAGAGTTAAAAACATCGATGAGAGAGAATCATCAATCAGCTGCCTCTTGCACACCCCTTATTGAGGATGTGCCCGCAACCAAGGTACATGCCCTTGACCGGAATCGAACCTGGGACCTTTCAGTCTGCAGGTGGTTTCGGTGGGACCATCATTTTAAATGAAAGAATTGTATCCTTTATCTTTATATACAATGTTGATGACAGAACCAGATAATATGTCTCCCTCTCCCTGCCATTGACCTTCTTTACCCCACTTTTATCCCCTCCCTAGGCCTTCATTATATATTGTCTGTCCATGGTATGCATACATGCATATAAATTCTTTGGTTAATCTCTTCCCCTACCTCTTGCCCTGTGAAATCCATCAGCCTGCTGCATGCTTCAATGTCTCTGGATCTATTTTGTCCCTTAGTTTCCTTTTTGTTCATTAGATTCCACATATGAGAGATTACGTGATACTTGTCTTTCTCTGACTGGCTTACTTCTCTTTGTATAATAATTTCCAGGTCCCTTCATGTTGTCTCCTTTTTTATAGCTGCATAGTATTCCATGGAATAAATGTACCACAGGTTTTTATCCATTCATCTTTCATGGATATCTAAATTTTACTTATCCTGAGTTTTATGGAATAAAAGTATTTAATTTGGAATATTTTTCATTTATTATTAGCATGTTTTACATTTTCTGGATTTTACAGTTATTACTCAAGCTTAAAATATTATGCTCCTGACATTTTTTATTATTGACTTTATTTCTAAACCATTTTAAAAAATAGATTTTTATTGATTTTAAAGAGAGAGGAAGGGGGATGGGGCAAGAGAGAAACATTGATGAGAGAGAGAAACACTGATTAGCTGTGTTCTGCATGCCCTCTTCTGGGGATCCAGCTGGTAAGCCAGGCATGTGCCTCTTGGTGGATGGGATGACTCTTAAGCAACTGAGCTACACCAACCATGGTCTAAATCTATGCTTTTAATTTTTGATTAGAGTATAACTGGCATTCAATACTACATTAGTTTCAGGTGTACATAGTAATCCTGCATTTACATACCTTATAAACTGATTAGCATAATAACTCTAGTAAACATTTGTCACTGTACAAAATTACAACGTTATTTTTTACTTTAAAAGTTTCTTCCATTGTAATTCAACAAAGAACAATTATATATATATATATATATATATATATATATATATATATATTGTATTTAATCTCCTTGCAGTTACTGTCTCATTTTTTAATCCTCTGCTGCAAAACTTCTTGTAAGGAATATCTATATTCTCTGTCTCTAATTCTTCAGCTTATATTCTTTCAAAACCTCTGGGAAATCAGGCCCTTGCCTCCAGCACTCTACCAAAACTACTCTCACCAAAATCATCAATGGCTCCAACATTTCTAAAGTTACTAATAATTTCTCAAATTTACCTTACTCTGTCCATCAGTAGCATTTCACTCAGTTTATCACTCCCTCTTTTTTTTTTTTTAATGCACTCTCTTCAATTGTATCCAAGGATGCCACATACTCTTCATTTTCCTCTTACATTATTATATGCTCTTCTCAGCCTCTTATGTTGCAGCTTTCCCATTTTCTTCAGCTTTTTTTTTTTTTTATCAATGAAAGTATTACATGTGTTCAAATCCTCCCATTGCTCCCCCAGCCCCACTCCCATACAAGCCTTCACCTCTCAGTGTCTTATATCCGTTGGTTATGCTTATATGCATGTATATAAGTCCTTCAGTTGATTTCTTACCTCCCTCCCTGCTCACCAGCCTTCCCACTGTAATTTGACAGTCTGTTTGATGCTTCTCTGCCTCTGTATCTATCTTTTTGTTTATCAGGTTATAATGTTCTTTATTTTTCCATAAATGAGTGAGATCATGTGCTATTTCTCTTTCACTGACTGGTTTATTTTGCTTACCATAATGCTCTCCAATTCTTCA